AATGAAATAATTATCCCTCCTTTTTTTTATATGCTTACGATGTGTATGTAGTATAACTTATAAATTTAGATATAGAAACTAGATAAATAATCGATGAAAACTTCCGAAAATCTCTGAAAAATTCAAAAATCAAAACCAATCTTGTTTTGTTATACACATTATATCAGGAAACTCCTTTTAACCTCCTTAAAAAAACAAAAAAATCTAATCTAATTTACAACTTATCTTTTAAGTTGAAAAATATGTAAACCTCAAAAGCTTATTTCTCCAAATCTCATATCCGATTGAATAACACAGCTTCCGGAAACAGTCTCAAACTGACCGGAAGATAAGCCGCCGCTGCCGGAGTGTGCGCCTCATCCACAGGTCATGTGATGCGTGCCGACCTCTCTCCTCTTTGCCGGTCACGACATCGCCTTACTCCGTCGTGCACTCTTGCCGGTTGCCAATCTCAGTCACCAGTCTCCTCTGCGTCTCCTCTTTGCCAGATGTAGTATATTGTAATTGTACGTCTCTTTATCTTTCTTGATTTCTTTCTCAATTACTGTAAATGACTATATGAGATTGTGAAATCTTTATCTTTATTTGATAGAGAATACACTTTAAAAAATGTGCCAAATAAAATTATTATTTTATTGAATAAAAAATTTTAATATTGATATTTCTGTTTTCGTACTCTTCTCTCTAACGAGTAAAATGTGGAAGAAACTCTGGTATTAATATGTATATGCAATTTATAACTTACCAGTATAAAATGAAAATTATTAAAATGATGCAACTATATTATCTTTTTTAAGTGTGAAATAATATTAAAGTAAGAACTGTATCATACAAAAATATGAAATAAGTAAAAATAAAAAAGGAAATTTACGATGATTAAGTAGAAATTTATAATAAAAGTTATATTTATCACTAGAGATTGTTTTTGATGAAAATATTCTTATAAACCGCTACGATTGTTTCCGATGAAAATATATTCATTCCTAGTTTAGAATTTTGATATGTCATAATAATTGACCAATAACTGTTTATATTGTTTTGATTTTGGCCCCTAATTCTTACGCTTGTGTTCCGCCCCTTGTAGTAACATAAACAAAATGTAATGGAAAAAAACACCCAAATCAAGTCATTTGGTCAAGGTGTTTACGAAAATGAAAAGAGATAAATATTAAGATTAATGAGTAACTGAAAATTGGAATTGTCGAAGATATAAAAGCAAAAGAAATTCATTTTTTTAATCTAGAAGAAACAAAGTTGCAAAGAATTAATATGGTTTAATACTTAATTAATTACAACCTAAATAAATCAAATAATTATTGATTATCATAATCCAATCCTTGACAATCAATGCACATCTAACTATCCTTTTAGACCAAACAACACGGATCTACAAAAACATAAAAATTCCACAAATAAAAATATACATTATCGGCAAATTCAAACGAATGAATAACATAAGTGACCATGCATCCTATGAAACAACATAAGTTTCCAAGAAATTATACCATAAAATTGTACCTATAAAATTAACCATACAACTTTTAAGTTCAAAACCAAGATACATATAGGAATGTCAACGGAGGCAAACGGGACCGGGAGTGCATCCCCCGCCCCCACCCCCGAAATTTCCCCGTTCCCCCGTCCCCGCCCCCGCCCCCAAAATGTTC